CGAAAATTTGTATATTTCCTTATAGGTGCCAGGTAGGGTCGGAACACCATGCATTTTTCTTCCACTTTCACCTATCAGCCGTCATTTCCGTACTCACACCTTTCTTATCCATGTCATCTTTCACACAATCCATCCATCTTTTCTTTGGCCTTCCTTTCCCCTTATATCTCTCCACATTCATACCTAGCACTCTTCTCATCACGTGACATTCTTCCCTCCGCATGACATGTCCATACCACGCTAGCCTATTACTCGTCATCTTTTCGGTCACTGGTGCCACATTCATACTTCCCCTGATGCACTCATTCCTTATCTTATCCTTTCTCGTCACTCCATACATCCATGTCACCAATCACGTTTCCGCTACATGCACAGTTCGTTCATCCTCCCTTTTCGTCGCCCAACATTCTGATCCATGCAGTACGACAGGTCTAATCACGGTCTTGTTTATTTTCCCCTTTAGGTTAAGGGGCATTCGCCGATCGCAAATAGTGCCTGTGGCGTGTCGCAATGTCATCCATCCTGCACTTATTCTTTTCTTAACGTCCCGGTCTATCTCGCCGTCGTTCCGTATTAACGAACCGAGTACCGAAAATCAGAGCAGACTGGTAGAGATACACTATCTAAGGCAATATTGGTAAAACCGGAGGCAGCGCTGAACTCGAGGAAATGCTGTTCGGTTTTCGACCGTATATTTTGACTCATCCGTAGAACACAATCCTATGTGCAGGACTGCTTATTCTCAGGACACTACATTTTGTTCGTTGTTCTTCACTTTTTTTTATAATAATAATAACGCACACACTCAACATAGCCCCGCACTAGGGAAACCCTGTGTCGCGGGTGCCATGGACACACACATAGACAACCACAAATTACACCCAAACTCACGAGAGAAATAAATGTAGGTCTTACAAATATTTCTCCCGGCCCGGGAATCGAACCTGGGACCTCTGCGTGGCAGTCCGGCATGGTAACCGTTCGGCCACTGAGGCAGTTAAGTACTTTGGATATGAGATCGATCGGTGTTCGGCTTTAAATTTCCAAAACGAAATAAGATATAAAAATTCTAATAAACACCTATAGTTAGGCCTTGGTTTGATTAATGATGCTATGTATTTATCCTCTTTTGGCTGTATAATCACGTAGGACTCTGTTCTTCGGATGAGTCGATTTGTATATTTTCTTAATGTTAGGCAAATTTCAACTTTACGTTGTCCTGACGGCCAAAGCTAAGTTTCGCATGTTAGAACCAATTAGAAAATGAAATTGACAACCCAGAAACAAATCGTGTTACATTGTGTTATCAAAGGAAATAAATATATTGATAATATCAAAACCAAATAAAATTAAATGTCCTATATCATCGAACTATATAGATTGTGTTCCGCAATGGACATAAGCTAAAACGGTGTCTATAATCAGGGAATCAAATTTCCTTCTTAGAAAACCTACTAAACGGAGGACGTTATTATGCACTTATGATGTCATTAAAGACCTTTTTAATACTAATAATAATATCGCACACACTCTTGCCCCGCCCTACCACTCCCACTTCTACCCTTACAATAAAGTATAATTTCTTTAGTACTCTGAACTTAATGATGGCAGAGCTCTACTACAATAAGGAGTTTAACTCAGGTAGTTTGAGTTAAACCTTAAATCAAATATGCCTATCCCTCGGACAACATGCTTCGCATAATTGTGATAGTACTTCACTTCAGGTAGGCACATGAGACTTGTCAACTTATGTCTCAGGGTGACGAGCGCAGTGGCTATCTAACATCTCTGCGATTTAAAGCTCTGAGTGGCACTGCAACTGTTATGGATAGACGTGTCATTTGCCACCAGGTGCACGACTTGTTCGTCCCGTCACTTGGTAGTATAAAAAAAAGAAAACAGCCGGTTTCGCCTTTACTATAGGTTGATTTGATTGAAAAAAGAAATATACCTACTCATTGACTTACAATTATATGGACGTCGGGTCCGCGCTAAAAAGTGTCCGAACTTATAGGGCGTTAAAATCGTATACAGAACGTCATTCACGCTTTAGTCTTCGTTTGTTTCTTCTGACAACGACGCAAGCAAAATTAGACAGTCCTGCGATGACATTACAATTTAAATTCAACGTTTTAGCTTTTTCATATTCCTTTACATGTCACTACGTTTAAATAGGTTGACTTGGGACATATTTTTCGTGGTTTTTGTATTAGACCCGTCGTCCATTTATTTGTAAGTCAATGTACATACACGATTTATTATATTTATGTATTTTTTATATTAAAAATCCGAAAGAAATTATATATAAAAATTATTTCATCACACGTTCACTTAATGACGTTATTGAGATCGATTTGTACTGTAGTTTTCATAGTGTCTGCATAACCACGTCTAATATTGTTTTTATTCACGGTCAAGATTACAAGTCTTCTAAAAATATAATACATGATATAATTGTGTTATTCTAACGATAAAGATGACTAGGCAATATTTTATCTCGATGAGTAGGTAAGTGTATAATCTTTATGGACATATGGCCTTGGAACACGTAAAGTTATTTCGTAGTGCCGAATATTCATTAAAATGGGTTATTTTGCGTTATTATTTCGGTACCTCCAGTAACACTACGCCAATTTAATGTTTTAGTCATTTTCTGTTTTTTTTTTTGTAATATTCATTTCCTAATACTAAGCTCCCCGAATATTGTGAAATAAAACAAAAACTAAATTGGAAAAAAACAAAAAACTAATTTTGTGAAAACAAAAGACATAAAAACAAAATATAAACAGAACAGGTCCAAATTTCATTGGAGGCATGGATTTATTCTACCTACACCAAGTTGTTTTTTTATGATATCAAGCGACGCGACGGGACGGACGAGTCGCGCGTCTGGTGATAAGCGACACGCCAGTCCATAGCAGTTGCAGTGCCACTAAGGCTTTAAATTTCAAAGATCTGGCACTGCCACTGCGCCCGTCGCCCTACACCTAAGCTGAGAAGTCCATCATCATCAAGCAGCCTCTACTCCATCCGTCTTCGGATATAAGTCCCCGACTTTAGTTATCCGTCGAATACGCTCATTCGGTATCCGAACAAGTAAATAACATTGCTCTTTCCATCGCTCTCACGTGCGATTCGTAAGTTCTCTGCGGACTTCTTCGTCAGAGTCGTTGTTTCCATGCCATAGGTGAACATCGGCAGGACACACTGGTTGAAGACCTTAAGTCTTTAGCCTCTGCGGTATGCGTTTGCATCGCAATATTTGCTGGCCCCAATAGCTGACCAAGCTTGTGCTATGCGCCTAGCGAGCTCCGCCGTTTGGTTTAGTAGGCCCAAAGTAATTTTGTTTCTTAATAAATCTTAAGTTCAAATACAATAGGACGATAGAACTTAGTGTCTTTTACCATCGTGTGATTTTTAGCATATTAAAAACATTTATATTCCAAAATAATATTATGAACTTAAGGTCCCTTACCTGTCACCTATAGATATATGAAAAAGGTAGATAGATATACGATAATTGGAGAATATTAGGTTTTAAAATTGAGTAAGATGTCAAAAAGTAGTTAAAGGACGATTTAGTGTGCAATAATTTGAGCTGCATTAGGATAGCATCACTACTATAGGTGCAATTCAGATGCAGTTAGTGCAACTGCACACCAGCGATTAAATTGACGTGCTGTCGTGGCAACAGCATCCAAACTGATTTTCGATTCGAACAGCTATTTTGAATTTGCAAAGCAACCGGATGCACGTCGAATCATAATGCTAATAAAAAATTATGTGACAAAAAAACAATGTTTGAATGTCTAACTAGTTTATTTTGGTCAATAACAAATTGTACTTAGTAATAAATAAAAATGTAATATTAATTAACATAAAACCGTCGCAAATAATTGTTCTATTATTCAAAACAAAGTCAACAATTCCACAAATGCATTATAATATGAAAGCTGATGGGCTTTTAAACCCCGAAATGGCGGTAAATTCTTGAATTTTCTGTAACATGGCGGCGGATCATATATAAATTGTTAACCTTAAATTACGATATTTTAATATTATGACAACACTATTTTATCCATATGCAAATTCTACATAACACGAAAAACAGCACGTCAAATGTACCTACCTAACTTTAAAAGTGAATTTGATCTTTATTTATCACAATTTCTATTGTACATTTCGTATAACAATAACCTAAACGCAGTTGTAATATAAAGAAAACAAACTTATATCACACCATTTATAATTTCAAATCAAGTTACTTGAACGAGTCCAGTGTCAACGTGAACTGGTCGTTCCCTTGAGGTGCTGATATAACCAGACTAACGTCAGACGCAGTCAGAGGTGCATTAGATATGCTGCATTCATTGCTTTTGATAAATTGTTATTCATACTTATAATATAGTTGTTAATTTACTAAGACACCCTTATTCTCTAACATTGCATTGTTCGACGAATAGCGTATGTAATACTATTTTCAAAATTACAGCTTCAATTTACTATTAAAGAAATCTTTTATCTAGTAAATCGTTATTTCAAATATTAATCTTATATCTCAAATCATAAGGTTTACTATTTATTGCCGAGCCATTATAATGGGTGAAAAATTTAATTATAAATAAATAATACGCTAAACAATTATTTATTTGATACTAGTCATTTAATTCATTTTTTTCACCCGTCAGTATGCTTCAGAAATTAAGAGTCTATACCTCAAATGCCTTTGGCTTGATTCCGCGTCAGTGAGTGATGAATCAATCACTTTTGAAAAAATATACAGTAAAACTGAGGAAATACACGGTGTAAAAATACAATTCCTAAAAATTTTCACTATAGAAAAAAACACAAACTTACCTCGAAATTTTACAAGAAAACCGCTGTATTCAATAGGTACTTCAACTTTCAACTTAACTAAATATACTATACGATATACATTTTTCAAATAGCTTTATTTTCGTTTGTAAGAAAATAAATTCTGAAATAAAGCCAGTGTCCCCAAGCAAAATGAACAAAAATTTGATTTCGAAATGTGGAAGTATAGACTCTTAATAATATTGATAAATTTAGGTCACAAATAAGAACAAGTTATCTTATCATTTCGATAAATATCATTGCTTTAAAATAATTTTTATCTTATTCGATATATAATAATAAAATGATAATTTAAACATTAAACAAGCATTATTCAACAATAGTGATTTTAAAATAGTTTTTATTATATTACAGGTGCTAAAATGACTTCTAATAATTGTAGTTGAAAATCCACAGCCCTACGTTAAAAATTATTTAAATATAATAACTAACTTTCACTTTGACGACCTCGGTGGCCTTGTCGCGCTATATGAGGAGATTGGTTTTTAAATTGGTTCTGGTTTTTCTAGGTAGAACCCGGGTATTCATATCATTGCTCTGGTAGGTATTTTATAGTACAGAGAATTTCTTCCTCGGAGACCAGGTGTTTTTTTAATACGTTATTATTATTATTATATAAACCATACAATTTCATTAAATTAACTTCAAGACGTTCAGTATTTAAGTTAATTATTATCAAATAACAATTTATAAATCGTTCAGTTTTTTTTAACAAAATTTTTTACTAATTATGTACTTAGAATCATGTCAATGTCATAATTTGTTTTACTACGGTCATTGTAAAATTTATATTCTTGACACGAAATTTAAACTGCATTCTGCCTGCGTTAGTCGAAACGGCGCATGTCACATTTAAAAAAATCTTCTTTTAAATGTTATGGCCCCATCGAAATAATCGATCATTTTGCCAATGTCAAGTAAAAATTACCATGTACGGTAGTTTTGTACAAATAATATAAAAATCATGGCAGACGATGCCACTAGCAAGGCAAAAATATTACAGCCGTGATCAGTAAAAAAAATGCCTGTCTGTCAAATATATTTCTTTCTCGGTGGATAAGATTTAAGTTACCGCAGGACAAAATAATGTATTTTTTTAATTTCATTTCTTTAGACATTATTTTTAACTAACGCCTTCAGATTTATTGTGCTCTGACATACTGGGTTTTTAATAATTATACTATGATAAAAAATGACAAGTTTATACTGAATCCTGGAACGCTGATACTAATTAAGTTCCGACTTCAATGTTCGTGTTGTATAAAAAGGAATTTGGAATGTAACACGATGAAGCTACGTGACATCTTAAGTAGACTTGCGTATTAAAGGGAATGTAAAGTAGGCATAACATTCTTTATAATGTAACTGAATTACTAATTCCTTTGTTGTACCTATAGAGAAAAAAGATAGTTTTCAAAACTAACCCTGTTTCACTATCTTTCTAAAACCCAGAAAACTACAATGGGAAAAGTGCTAAACGCCTAATGTACATTAAAAGGTAGTACTAAATATACATATAATTACATGCTTCAGGCCCTCAGTTACCCTATGGACACATAGAGGATCAAGCGTTAAATTTGAATGCATTATTTTCATTGTACATTGGGTTTTAACGTGATCATACAAATAATATTATTAACTAGATCTGGATCATTTCACAAAGTATATTTTAAAGTACACGAGGCCTTAGCAAGCTATATGCTGTTAAGTAGATATTCCAAATGCCTTACTACACAACAAAATAATATGAGAAAAAAAAAGAAGCAAGCAAAAAGTTAAAAGAATCAAGGGCTCAGTTTGAACTTGTCAAATATAAATAAATCTTTTTCACTACAAATAATATATAATCACTGCACCTTCTTTTTAACCTCTTTCGTAGGCAAGAACAGTGCAATAGTTTTCTGCAATAACTCTGTAAATATGAGTGTACCAATAAACACTAACAGAGTACCTATCCAATGCCCTAACTTGAATGGATTCCTAAAGTAAATAATAGAGAATAACAGCGACACGAACTTCCTTAAAGTAACTGTTAATGTAACAGTCAGTGACGCACATTCAGTGGTCAAAACGTACACTGCACTAATACATAGGCCTTGTGTTAATATGTATAATGTAAGCCATAACACCTGTCTAGGCCAGATGATACCCAAGAACTCTATATCAGGGGTCTTGGTAGCTAATTCTATGTGATGATATATGTTGGGCGCTGTTGGTAACCAGAAAACAAGAGGTAGCAAATGCGTATAGTACAACGCTTCCCATGGATGTTTCCCGTACACTGAGTATAAGGATTCTTGGAATATACCCATTCTCGCTGATACGAACAAGGCGAAAGTTAGAATGGCTATTCCCAAACACCACCAAAGCCAATCTATGAACTTTAGACGCGCTTCCTCCACTTCGTCGTCGCTTGTCTCCCTAGGCGCCTTGACTTCGCCACTAGATTGTATTGTGCATATTGCTATTCCCGCAGATATCATAAACACAGCCAGGTATTTCAAAGGGGGATACTGCTTCTTTAATATCCATACCCCCATAGCCATGTTCGCCATTAAAGAGCCGGCTCGAAAGATCATGTGTAAAGGCATTGATATATTGAAGTCAAACGCATAGTTGTTAGCTACGCTGCTTGACCAAAAGAATCCAACTAAAAGCAAATACTGTTTGAAAGGTATGTTACGCTTTGCAGTACCGAACTTTCCAACAGTGCAGAAACCAATAGTTGCTATAAATACGAATTGTAGGAATGTTGCTAGGTTTCCAGCGCCGGGATCTTCTTTAACCACTAGTTCGAGGAACACTACGTTGGAACAACAACCCACAAAGACCATTCCAATGGCCAATGCTGCCATTAAATTCATTTTGAATCTGAAAAAGAAAAAAAATGTTAAAAAACACACAACAATGTGCTTTTGGATTCCGATACCGGGAATCGAACCCGAGCCTCCTGGGTGAGAGCCAGGTATCCTAGCCACTAGACCATATCGGATCACAGCATACCGATTGAAAATAAGAGTGATACTTCAAGTACTAAACAGTAATGTAATTTCATGTATTGGCAGTGAGAAATCTAATTAATATACATCTACTATGTTGTTTCATTTAAATAAAATCAACACGGAAATATTAGAACATGTTACGATAACGCAACACATGCGCACTGCGGTCGGCTAACGTTCGTAAACTTTTTAGGTTAATCTTCAATACAATAAAAATAACAAAGTACAGCTTAAACATACACAATATAATAAGTATTAAATAAATACTTACGTTTTTATGTAAATCTGCGTACACAAATTTAATAAAACTCCAAAAATCACAGAAACACCATTATTGACATCCACACGTTTGACAAGCGCGAAGACCGCCGCTTGTGTGTGTAAATGAATGAACTTATCAAAATCATTTGTTTGTAGTGGTAACCGTACGTCCTCGCGCATGTGTAGACTTCTCTGTCGGTAAAACAGTCGTCACTAGGTGGTTACTTTAATAGGCGACAGGTGGCGCTTATTATAAAAGTTAAAGTATAGAACCTACGTAAATGTTTGATATTTATTTTTGTAGATATTACTAATATGTGAGTTTGATAACTATAATTAATAACTCAGCAAGTCACTAACTACTCCCAGTTATCTGATAACCTGTATTCAAACTTCATGCTTATCGTCGGCATGTTCTATCGTAATTTAAAATTGTTTTAGTTATATACTTTAGAGTGTACGCTCCATCGTCGACCTCATCGTCACTTTCCATCAGATGAGATAGAGGTCAAATCCGCACTTATAATTTATTTAAAAAAAAATAGATCACGGTAAATAGAAAGGTGAGTAAGTATATGTATTTTAAGAGCCCTTTAAGTGTTTGTCTAAATGCCGAACAACCATATCTGCTGGCACATCCCCTGCACCGAATGACGTAAGTAGGGTAAGGAAAAGGTAATTTATCATCCATAATTCGTATCCGATAGTACCGCAAGCGATAAAGGCAGATTTATCGCGGTTTTTATCGTTACTATAACTTTGGACTGAGAGGCGCAGAATTCCTTCTGATGTTGGTAGTGTTAGTTGTCTGCTTGTATTTGTTCGTTTTATTGAGGCATTTGTTACAATATTGTACGAATTTAATCTTCCTAAAAAAGTTAATTTATTACTTTAACAAGGGCATCATTTCGTTTCGGAGGCCAAAACATATTTTTGGACGCTGAGTCAGCGGAGTAAACTAAGTAATATTATATGTATGTAAGTAATTACTTCAACAAAAAGTATTTTTTTGTCTGTAAAATTTGCGTTCCCAGTAAGAGGTCGATTCTTCGTGCCCCGGTATGTAATATGACTTTCATTTTTAAGTTGCGGACATTTTTAATGTTTAAAAATAATAATAATTCATTTCTGAAAGCACAGGTTATATATAAGCTGACATTACATAATTGTAACGTTTCTTAAAAAAATTCAACCTCAAAAGTTCGCTGTATTACATCTACTTGCGAAGTGTTATTGAAATCGGTTACCGGAAAGTGTGCAAAACCGGAGTCATCCCCTAGTTTACCACTCTTAGAGGTGGATGTTTTCTTTAAATTTAAGTGGAGCCAGATGCCTTCTTTTCAACAAAAAAAGAATCATCAAAATCGGTTATTTTTCTATTCATATCGCATGCGCAGTGGCAGTGCCCCTCAGATCTTTGTGTTTTAAAGCTCTGAGTGGCATGCAACTGTTATGGACAGGCGTGTCACTTACTATCAGGCGCACGATTTGTTCGTCCCGTCACTAGGTATCTTTAAAAAACAGTTTTTCCCGTTTCTCCTCCAGTGACTCGCATAAACTTCAATTCAGCAAACTCGCACGTAAAAAAAATATGTTTCATTTAGACAATACATTTGTCACCGTTTCTTATCTTTTTCCTATATTTACGAGTAAGTTAACCTTATTTAGTTACAGCTGCAGTCTAAACTGATTATTTCTTCTCCGTAGTGGCTGTGCATAATAACCGTCTACCCAATTTCCTTTATGATTTTCCCAGTAAATAGGGAACGGTATTAGCGTCTGCTCCACTTGCATAATAGTCACTTCTAGGGTTCACTTTAAAAGTGTTTGTAATAGGGTAACATTTGTATTCGTTACTAATTTTAGTAACGGCTATTTAGTACTTCTACCATGATAATGTGAATTGATGACTTTGTTAAAGCATTCTGAATCCTTTCGTACTGTTGGTTCCACTCTTGGTTCCACTAGCGGATCCAGAAGAATTTTCAATAGTTTCCAGTTTAAAAAAAATAATTGTAAGATTTGACTTTACGTTAACATACTTTATTCTTTGACAAAGGCAATCTTTTTTTTCCATTTATAATATCAAGTGACGCAAAGATCTGAGGGTACTGCCACAGCGCCCGCCAGCACCCTTACGCTTTCAAACCAGAACGCTCAAACAAGAGTACTACTGCTACTGAAAGTGCTTGTGAAGTGATTTTGAGTAGTAAATAATAATGATTGAATAATATTTATTTACTTAACATATGGTTTGGTAAAATATGTAGTATGTAGTAGTAGTATGTAATAGTGGTAGTGCCCCACTACCACTGTGCGTTACCCTGAGACTTAGGTTGATAAGTCTCATGTGTAACTACGGTACTGTAACCTAGCGATGCGCGAGTCGAGTTATTGAACTCGATTAACTCGAGTTAGTCCCACAACGAGTCATCTCGAACTACTTTTTGTGCACTCGAGCTAGGTCGGTGCGGTTCCCGCCGAGTCGAATACCTCATTCATACAGCGCGTCGGCTATTCGTTCTCACTTGGTCGGCTCGCGACTCTTACGGCCGCTTTCTATATTTGATCCTGAATCTAAGATTTTTTGCTGTCCAGATTTTATTCGATCCATCGATCGCTCCCTGATCTGTATTTCAATATGTCTATCTCATCTCTAGCGCCCTTGAAAAGAAAGGATCGGTCGTAAATTTACGCCCTCTCTGACGTTTAGTTCCACGCAATCGGAGTAAAAGTTCATTACATAAGTTAGTAAGTAAAATGGTGGTTATGTTTCTAAGATTAATTTATTTATACGTGTGATTTTGGCAAAAATATAAATTAATTGCAAACGTCTATTGTCCAGAACGGAACGTCTATTGTCAAACGCGCGTGACGGGCTCATATATGCTTTTACCGACCGCTGTCGCTGAGCGCGTTTCCCCGCGCCCCGCCCCTCGATTGTCCGCTCCGGCGGAGACGTCACGCGTAAACACGTTGACCCCTCCACGTGATTACGCCGCTGTCGCAGCTGTTAAGCGACCCGTTGCTCCACAACCACAAGCCAGGCAGCTATCAACGAAGGGGATGAAAAAACCTCGTGTACCTGTCTCTGAAGTTGCAAAACCACAGAGGCAGACGGACCGGTGCGACGATGACGGCTTCACAAAGGTGGAGAAGAAGAAGAGGAAGCCCACCAGCCGTAACCTGTGCGGCACTGCACCGACAGGGTCCAACTTTTTGCTGCGTCCGGCAATCCCGACAACGCTGCTGTACCTGTCACGCCTGCATTACTCCACGAAGTCTGAGGAGATAGTGGAGTACATCAGGTTAAAATCCAAATACACCCTGAGGGTCGAGCGGTTGTAGTCCCGCCACTACGTGAACTTTAATTCGTTTGTGGTGAGAGTGCCGACCGAACATCTGTCGACCTTCATGAAGGAGGAGTTCTGGCCGAAGGGTGTCCTATACCGGCGATTCCGTGGCCGGTTGCCTGACACCAGATGGCGCCACACGTCGCCGACAACCTAAATACGTGTTAAATTAGTAATTAGTGTTATTTTATATTGTTATGTATGTTAGTCTGTAAGGTATGTATCTATGGGTCTCAGTAACCTGAATATAAATAAATAAATAAAATAAATAAATAAATAAAAAAAAAAAAAATAAAATAAAATATAGGTGAAAAAAAAATAAAGGGACAGCGCGGCGGCAGCGAAATGTTAGTGTCATTCACAGACCGCATAAATACTGTGTCAATTTATGTTTTGTTGATGTTTGTTCGTATTTGTGACGTGATAAATAATCTAAATTATTGAAATACCGTTTTGATTTGACTTTGATAAGTAGCAGTATTTCATTTAAAACAAATTCAACTGATGTTTTGTTCAGCCTAAATCGGAATGTAAATCCAGGGTCAGTTAAACTTACCATGAAGTTTATACGCCTAAACATTCTTGAGGACACAAGTTGCTCTTGGCACTATCAACAACTGAGCAAATTGTTCAAGATCACAGTCGCTATCACTTAAAAATAACTTCCATTTTCACACGATTACACAGTACAATCGGTCAAAATTGGAGGATCGCTATAGATCGAACACGTTCAAAATCCGATTTGTCAAACCTATGGACCGGATATTGAAAGCGCACAACTGTAACTGTCATACAAATGTCAATCTAAAAATGCCATACGCCTTCCCACAGATGGATTGAAACAAAAGATAAGAATAACGATCCATCGATCGGTTATTGAAATAGTAAAAATAGGATTTGGATTGATTATTCAAGCTCAGATTGCAAATTATGGATTGAGATTAAAATATAGAAAGCGGCCGTTAGTTGCTCTGTCAGTCACCGAGTCAAGTTAACTCGAGTTAGCAGTCACGTCAACTCGAGTTGAAAAAAATATAAACTCGTCCCAGCGCTACTGTAACCTCGACTGCATGAGGTTGTTAACAAACATCTAGTCAATCTGTTAGCAGCCTAAGTTCAAACGTTCACAAAGTTATTACCGTTTATTGCGATCTTTTTATATGTATTTATTTTTGTATGAAAGTAAAATCAGATGACTTATTATAAGTCATGAAACAAAAATTTTTGTTTATGATGTTAGTGATGTGATCCTGCGAGGTTGTTAATCTTTTTTTGACGACCTCCGTGGTCGAGTGGCTTGCACACCAGTTTTTTATGGTGTCGCCATCTCTGAGGTCCCGTGTTTGATCCCCGGCCGATTCAGTGTAGAAAACTAACTTTTCTGTATTGTCTCCGGTCTGGGTGTTTATGGTACCGTCGATGTACCAGCACAATGGCATTGACTTTGACTACTCAGAATACCCAGATATTATAAATTCATCTCCCAGAAATTAGGTATATGTAAAATTTTACAACACTCCTATTAAAGCATAAAACAGCTATCGACCAATTTCGTTCCTAGAATTTTTAAATCTCTCTTGTGAAAAGTTATCATTTTGCAGATGTGACCTTATTTTATTTTATTTTTATTTATTTAAACACTTTATTGTACCACAAAGTAACTTACAAATTTTCAGAAACAATTACACCAAGGGTACGATACATATATTGTTTGTATCATCATCTATAACCCATTATAAGTATCACAGTTGA